TGGAAATTAGATCAGAATCAGGCCCACAGAGTACATGTGAATGAAACTTTGGCACACAGGGACTAATAATTTGGCTCAGATAACCAAAAACCACCTTCTTGTTCTTGGACATCATGGTGCATGGATCTCTAGCATAAAACATGTTGGCACAAAATGAACAAATGTAACCATAGTGTTTAAATATGGGGCTAGTTTCAGTTGTGCTGAAGACCCTATATTTTCCCCTGTCAGAAAGAAAGATACTCATTGTTCTTAAAAAAAAAAAAAAAAGTCCTGTCATAAATGGCTTGATGATTTCTCTGCCTGGGTGTTTAATTATATGTACTCCTGGCAATAGTCTATTAACTCCCACTCAGTGCAGCAAGAGTTCTGACTTTGAGTGATAAGCATACCGCTATATTTGGAATGTTGATCAAAACCACCTCTTTTCCATCTACTTGGGCTTTAACTTTCAAGGGTACATATTGTACTAGCACTGCTGATTATATATTATAAAAATATAATAGTGTCCTCCAAAATAAACTTTAAAAAGACCATAATTGTGATGTGTTCATTTGTGTTTCACTCTTCATAGTAATCAAAACCCTACTGTGTGGTCATTTTTACATGCAGAATTCCCAGCAAATGAAAAGAGTATTAAGCAGGAGTTCTATGCAGGCAACGGCTGCTGGATTGGGTATATGGGATGAATGATGGTACATATAAAAGAAAACTAATGTCTGAAATATATATTAACATTAATAAAAAAAAGTTTGAATAATATTTATCAAAACTAGATTCTTCATATTTAATTAACTTAAAATATTGTCTTTACCTACTGCCTAATGAAGAGAGATGTCAACAATAATATTTGAGATTACATTTTCTATTATTAAATTTTTATTAAACCAATTAAATTATCAGTGAACTATGGTCAATGACCTCATAAGAGTTAAAGTAAAATGTGAGACTATCAGAAACTAAGATAGTCATAAAAATACTTTACCGATAAGTTGCTCTCTAAGGCCTTGAATTAGCAAAGCACATAAGCACACGCTTAACCTTAAGCTCATGACTTCAAAATGAATGAAACCGAATCCGTAGGATCATTCAGCGCCTAGAAGGATAGGGGTGGCACCAAAATGTGTGAGGACTTGAAGACTGAATCTGCAGTGACAACCATTTCCATGACTAAATGAGAGAATTCAGCACCATGAACACCACCATCCTTCCTGGTTACTTCGGCCCCTCTGCTGTAAGACTATCTGCACTGGTGTTTGTGAACCTCACTGGGCCAGAAAGTTTGATCCAGGGACATAGTTTCTTAGTGAACACTGGAAAGCTGATGTCACTGCAACATTGTACGCAAGAGAGAAGAGGGACAATCCTATTATGAAGAACTGTCTCTCATTTTGGCATCTGCCTCATTTTGACATGTCTCTCTAAAAGTTATTTATTTTAAAGAAGTTCCTGCTGGAGACTATGCAGACCTTTGGGACTGAAAAAAATGGACATAGTGACGTTCCTGTGAGCCACAAAGGTTTATATAAAAGGTTTTCAACTCACTTCACTAGTACTCTGTAACCTAAATTGTGGGGCCTCATTAGTGACACTTTTGTAGTGATAACTGACCTAGTATAATTTTTCTTTTAAGTCAATTTTCACTTTGTGATTCTATTTTCTATACTATGCCAATCAAAAGTTGTCTTTATTTAAGCTAACTGAAACCGGATGTGAAGACTGGTAAAATGGAGATACTTGTTGGTAGACACCTTGAAGAGAATAAATCTGAATTTTGACTTCAGAGGAGGCTGAGTAAGTAAGAGTAGGGATCACACAATTGCTCTCCCCAAATAACATTTGAAGAGGGACTGATAAAAGCCACCAGAGTCCTGTGGCTGAGAAAGCCAAATAAGCTTGCAGCGTGCTAAATCCAATTACATTTATCAAAGCTGGTATCTAACCCCAGTAGATGTTTTTGCTTGTATTTAAGTGTTAGGCATAGAAGAATACTAAAAGTTTAAGCAAAACCAAGGATGTTAGCTCAGTGGCTCTGGTGACATGCCATAAGAAGTCGATGGGGCTGCACAAAGAGCACTAAGTTTTCTCAAACTGCAGATTCTTTCTGCATAACATCTTTAAGACAGCCTTTCCTAGCCATCCACGCTGTGAAAATTCATCTCACCTTGTGTCTTGATTACTTGACAAATGCAAGTAATGACATCTTGCCCTGCTCGTATCCGTTCAGAATGCTGCTGCAAAGATCATTTTTCTAGCCTGTTGCTTTGACCAAGTCTCTCCACTGATGCCTTTTCTCTATCGCATCAAACATAAGTGACTTGACTTCACTTTAAAGGCCCTTCACAGCCTACCTCCACTCTACCCTTATTTTGCATTTGTTATCAAGATATCAACTCCCACCTCTGATCAGCCAGAAGCTCAAGCACCTTCATGCTTTTCTCTCACGCTTGGGAGATTCTCCCATAAACATCCACAAAGAGACCTCAATATCCTCCACATTTTTCCTAAAACTTTCCTTTGCGATGATGCCTACCAAGAACTTGACAAGGGTTAGGCTGCTGGTGTGCTGAGAACACTACCTATCATGCTGACCAATACAGTCTCATTATTTCCTTGTGCTCCCTATCAGTTGGTCTCCATCTATTGTCTCGTGTCTTATACTTAGATTGTAAGATCTTTGGGGCAGGGACTGTCCTTTTGTTCAGTACAGCGCCTAGCACAGTGGGATCCTGGTCTATGACTGAGGCTCCTAGGGACCATGGTAATACAAAGAAAATAATGATTGTTTGATTCTGTACTGTATTGAGAGTTTTTTATTAAACTAAGGGCCTGATCCAAAGTCTATTGAGTCAACTGTAATAACCCCATTGAATTCAATAGGCTTTGGATTAGGTCCTCAGTGAATATGGTATTTTCTTTTTGGGTACTCAGGGGAAAGTAAGTGACTATACAGTAACTTGGGCTTTAGCCTACTAAGTGAAGTTTCAGTTAAATAAACATCTCACTTTACTTAAAACGTGTCTTTGGCTGATAGTTTAAAGTCTGATTTAGGGTTGATGTACACACAAATTGCTGATTTAATTCAGTAATTGATTTAGTTAAACTAAATCAACATCCAGTCAAACTAATTTAAGGGTAGGTCTACACTTTGCTTACCGCCGGACCCGGTGGTGAGCAATCGATCTTCTGGGATCGATCCCGGAAGTGCTCGCCGTCGACACCGGTACTCCAGCTCGGTGGGAGGAGTACGCGGCATCGACGGAGAAGCCTGCCTGCCGCGTCTGGACCCGCGGTAAGTTCGAACTAAGGTACTTCGAATTCATTCGTTATTAACGTAGCTGAATTTGCGTACCTTAGTTCGAAATGGGGGGTTAGTGTGGACCAGGCCTAAGAGAGTGACCACATGAGGACTGCCCTGATTTTTATCAATTTACAAACCCCCTTTAGTTAAATCAGTGTAATATGAGGAGGTAAACTGGGTCTTTATTATAATAAAAAGTACATTGACTCTTTAGGAACTATGGGGACAACTTCAGCGCTCTTCATGCACTTATATGCCTATTAAATTTTATGGGTCATGAGTAAGGCTGAGAGTTTATCACGGAGGTCACAGATTCCGTGACTTTCCGTGACCTCTGATTTCTGCAGCAGCTGGTGCTGGCTCAGGGGATGCCCGAGCCGGGCAGCCCCTGGGCCAGCAGCAGCAGTTTGGGTGTGTGGGAATGGGCTCAGAGCTAGGGGCAGGAGGTTGGGGAGTGGGGGAAGAGCTAATCTCAGGATGGGGGGCTCCCACTGGCATGGCCTTGCAGCTAGTAGGTGGCGGAGGGGCTGGGGGAGACTGCACTGTGTGCTGCCTGCGCCTGCAGGACCCGTCCCCACAGCTCCCCTTGGCTGCAGTTCTCGGCCAATGGGAGCTGCGACAGCTGGGGCTTGTGCCCCTCCACCACCTAGGAGCTGCAGAGATGTGGAGCCAGGTAGGAAGCCCCTGCCAGCCCCGCTAAACCTCCCCTCGCTTCTCCCCCCGTCCCCAACACAAGCGGGAATCCCAGGCCATGCACTGCGGCCCAGCCATCCTCCCCAGCACCCACGGCACCCCCTGGACCTCCCTCCCCCCCCCCAAGTTTTAGTCACAGGAATTTTTAGTAAAAATCACAGACCGGTCACAGGCCAGGAATTTTTGTTTATTGCCTGTGACCTGACCATGACTTTTACTAAAAATACTCGTGACTAAAACGTAGCCTTATTCATGAGTAGACTTGGGAGGATAATAAAGCATTGGTCTTTCATCAACAGAAAAACTATTCCATTAAAATTATAACACATGCAAAACGATTTCTAAAGATTTTTAAAAGTTTACTATGAAGCCTCAAAGTTAAAGCCACGAGAGAGAGTTCTGACAATTTTTTTTTAAAGTGCCACCTTTTCAACAGAAAAGGCATTTATATTTTTTAAAGGGAAACATTTTGAGCAAGAGTGACTAGTCTGTTGGATTCTTTTTGTTCTGCCTCTTTTGACAGGTACAAATTAGCTGTTCTCTGTGAAAACTTAAGACTTCCCCAAACAAAGCTATGAAGCTGTCCCGCCACTTCTCTCTTTCATGAGGAAACTGGCAAGTATTACCAGAAAAGTGACTTTATTATGATTTAAAAAGAAAAAAAATCTGAACTCTGAGTTGTGTGAATTTACTGCTCTGGTTTGGTTCACTATAGAGAGATGTTTGAGTTATGAGAAGCAGGTTGGGATCCATATCCAAAAACTTGCCAGAAGGAGATCAAAAACTGGGCAGGGGATCAATATTCTATTTGGGTCGTTAACTCTAAACATAACACCATTCATTCTACAATAACAGTGTAAAGCAAGGGGGAACACTGTGCTGCTGTTTCTTCCAGTTGAGAATGTGAGTCAAGCTCTGCTGTTTTCCTCACCTCCCAACCCCATCCCCTATCTCTCCAGTATCTATACATCTTCCTCCAAGCAGTTCAACCCATCTTGTCACTTACTTATTTCTTCTGTGGGCAGAGCAGACCTTCTCCCTCTGCTTCTGCCTGCATTCCAGCCTCTCTCTTCATCACCTTCACCTGCCTCAGAATCAGGCAGCCTGATTTCCTGACAATGACAAACAAGGTTAGAGCAGAGAAAGCAGCTCCAAATACTCATCCCCTCCTCATCCTAGCAACAAGAGCAGGTCTCAGAGGGCACTGCAACTCACCTGCCTGGCAGCAGCTGCTGATAACTGCAAGGAAGAAGAGGATACAGTACCCTCTTTACTCTTATCCTGGGACTGGGGTAGCGGAGCTCTTGCCTGGACTCTGTAGATCAGCTCGCTGCGGAGAGTTGCTAGTTCTGCTTTAAGTGTGAGAACGTGGTAAAGACACACTGCTGCAAGAGAAGAGGACAGGAGCATTGCAAGCCACAGGAATGTGACCGAGAGAAGTCCTTTCCTGCCCAAACCAGCACCAGGGAGAGCAGGAGGAGAGGAGGAGATACCCTTCTGTTGGATGACGTGCACACAGTCCACGGATTTCATCTCTGCTCTTTCCTTACTAAAGCCAGAGGGAACATTCAGCTCTGTCTCCTCCTGGGGTGTAATCCATTTTGCCAGTTGCTGGCTGAAACTAAGGGCAGTCAAAATATCTGACCAAAACGCCCAGATCATTTCCTGTCATATGGAGCTGTTGATACAAACATTAAGTTTAATATACAGGGTAAGTGTCTAAGATGCAGGCTCCCTTAGCTTTCTTCTTACTGCTCTGCATCTTGGCAAATTATTATTCTCTCTTCAGCTGCTTGCTCAATCTACCTTCCTCATTTCACTTTCAGCTATTTACTTTTTATGGCAACTTGCCCATTACCATCTCCTGTTATCTTTGTACCCAGACATGATTAAAACATCTGATTCTATTTGTATCCTGAATCTTCAGAAATAGTGCAGAAGAGATGTAAGACTCCCTGCCAAAGTATTGTATCCTGTTGCAACCTAACACATAATGGGGTCTCTAAAAATAGAAATATACAGTCATTCTCAAGAAAATGGAATGTATGTCAGTGCATGGACTGACAGAATTTCTATCATTATCCTGTATCCTAAAAACAGAAAAAAGCTTTCCAAGTACAGGGAGCAGAGTACAGGGAGCAGAGCATTTCATTTCTTTGACTGTGTGAAGTTGCAGGCTCAATGGAGGGCCAGATGTTCCCCAAGAATTTGAGAACAACTTTTAATTACAATTTGTTTAATAAATTTGCCGATTCTGCTGCACAGTTCAAGCATTTGGATGTGGGATTAACCAAGGATTGATACAAAGGAGATGGTAGAAAGGAAGTGTATGGAGAATTCCAAAAAAGAGGAAGAACTTGTTCCACTATGCATGCACTTTAGAAGGCAAAGATAATTCATGGAATTTAAAACTGTCTGCTTAATTTTACTTTGTAAACCTGTGTGCTTGGCTTTGGGCTCATCTCTTCCTATGGTCCTATTAATCCCTGCATCCCTCTGAACTTTTTGACAGAATCTTAAAATGGGGGTGAGGGGAATCTAACTACAGCAGAACCTCAGAGTTACGAACACCACAATTACAAACTGACCAGTCAACCACACACCTCATTTGGAACCAGAAGTATATAATTGGGCATTAGCAGAGCTTCCCCTTCACCTCCCTCTTCCCCCCCAAAAAAGCAAATACAGTACAGTACTGTATTAAACAAACTACTAAAGCATAAAAGGAAAGCAGCATTTTTCTTCTGAATAACAGTTTCAAAGCTGTATTAAGTCAATGTTCAGTTGTAAACTTTTGAAAAAAACATCCATAACATTTTGTTCAGAGTTACGAATATTTCAGAATTATGAACAACCTCCATTTCTGAGGTGTACATAACTGAAGTGCTATTGTAATTTACACTCTTGCCATCCCTTGCTTAATTCAGCTAGAGCAGAATGTTGCAGTACATCCCTTCAGCAACACAGACGACCATGAAAATGTCAGACGTGTCCACCACACTCTGCATTGACTTCCCATAAAAGTTAAGTTCAAGGTCTCAGTCCTCATCTTCAAAGCACTCAACAGTCTGGGCCCATGACATCTAAGAGATCATCCGATGCTCCAGGATGAGGACTGTGGTAAACTGGAATAATGGAACATTTTACTACTAGGGTAAAACTTGTCTGTGTAAGAAACAGGATCTTGGGGATGGTTTCAGACTGTGGAATGAACTCCTTCAGGAACAAAGGACCATCATAAACCTCACACCTTCTCACTCTAAGTGCAATGTATACTTTTTCAACCTTGCCTTTTCTAACAAATATGTAACAGCATATACCACAAGCACTACACTGCACACACAAATTCTCCCCCTGGGGAGAGAATGAGAAAGAACCACACATGAAAGATGTCATCCATCTCACTTACTGTATTACTGGAAGGTGCTCAGATATTATGGTGATTAGAGCAGTTTGAGAACCTATGTAGAACAGAATCCCATGATCTCCCCTCCAATGAAATTCAGGGTAATTTTAGTTGCTATATATTTTATGGGTTGTGTACTTTAATGATTATATATTATCTGATAAGTATTTATTTGGCACTGTAGTGACTGTGTGTGGCTCCCCTCCCGCCCAGCAGAGGGAGTGCCCTTACAGACACCCAAGTGGGCAGAGCCTCCGCCACCTGTTCCCGCCCCCTGGAAGTCAAGGGACGGGACAGGAAGTATAAAAGCCGGCCGCCAGAGCTCAGTGCGGCCCCAGCCAGCACAGGGAGCAGACGTGCGGTGGGAAGCTCGCGGCCGGGAGACCTCAGAGGCCGTGGCCCGAGCTGCCCCGAACCCACTACGAGGAGGAACCACCGGAGCCCGTCCGCTCCCGTCATTGGGAGGACCCGTTGGAACTCCCCCACACCAACCCCAAAGGCGAGACACCACCAGGGGCCTTCCACCCCTGCTGTTACCTGGAGGAGCCACCTGAGTCCACACCAGACTTCCCCGAGGAGCTGCCAGACCTGCCACCAAGCCCCGGCCGGGAGGAACCCATGCTGATGGACTGGACTGGGCCCGGTGGCACGGACGAGGTAGGCCCTGAGGGGGAAACTGGAAGTAGCCCGGGGGTAGCCGACCCCGGTCAGGCTGCAGACACGTACGAGCCGATGTCAGTGTGTTTCGGTCAGGATACCCCACTGACTCACAGCAGCAGCAGCCGCTGCTAGGGCCCCGGGCTGGGATGCAGTGCAGTGGGTGGGCCTGCGTCCCCCCCTGCCACCCCGCTCATGGGTGGCAGGCTTCCCCCTCACCCAACGCTCAGGTATAGGGCCTGAGCTCCCTACCTTTTGTATTGTTGCTCAGCCCCTGCACCAGAGGGCCTGAGCCCCCTAACTGTTATCATGTTGCTCAGCCCCTGCCTGAGCCCTGAACTGACTGCTTGTTTGCTCAGCCCCTGCACCTGAGGGCCTGAGCCCTGAACTGACTGTTTGCTTGTTCCACCGGTAGTGAGTCAGTGTGGCTCCCCTCCTGCCCAGGAGGGTCGAGCCCCAGGACGAACCTTCTACAGGCACATAAACAGGAATTTGTATTACATAGTATCTAGAGGCCTCAGTTGTGTAGGGTCCCATTGTGTTCTAGCTCTTGCAAGTACATATAGAGACAGTCCCTGCTTTGAAGTGTTTGCAATCTAAATAGACAGGACAGCCACAGGGAGGACAATGGAAGAGTAGTAAGTAGTAACCCAAGATTTAAAAAAAAAAAATTGACCAAAGAGCTCTCTGAATCACTAATGTTTATTGTTAACAAATCTGCAAAAAACACAGATGAAATTCCAGAGGACTGGAAAAAATGGTAATGTGCCAATATTTTAAAAAGGTAAATGGGATAACCTGTGAAACTTTAGGCCAGGGGTTGGCAACGTTTGGCATGCGGCTCGCCAGGGTAAGCACGCTGGCGAGCGGGGCCAGTTTATTTACCTGCTGACGCGGCAGGTTCGGCTGATCATGGCCCCAACTGGCCGCGGTTCGCCGTCCCGGGCCAATGGGG